ATGTGGAGTGTGAATTCTAAGAACACAAGGAAGAGCCACATCAACTGTAAAGGGCAGTAACGGGGTGTGGGAATGGCACTGAGGAGAGGGTAGGGGATCTTGACTCCGCAAGGATCTTAAGCGGAAGTCGGGAAGTCCTGGAGAGTTGGTAACGGTGATCACAATCGCTGTTTATGGAGTCCATCTCATGGGCCCAGCCCTGTAAGGCAGTCTCTGTCATCATCCCCATCGGACAGATGGGGATACAGGCTCAAGAGAAGGGACTTGTGCAAGATTCCAGTGCTAGGAAGTGATAGGGCCGGGATTCCAAGCCTGGCGTCTGCTGTCTGGACCCTAAGATCTGTGCATGAAGACCTGCTTGGAGAAGCTGGAGTGCTCCCAGGATGCTAGGAAGCCAGTGTTATTGGAGGTAAAAGAATCAGCCATACTCTGTGTGTCTCTGCAGTTGTCAATGAATCAACCATACTCTGTGTCTCTTAAGAAATTAATCAGAGTTGTAATCCATGTTCAAATGCTCCTGAAAAAATTGGCTTTCAGGAGTTTTGTTTATTAGCCTTATGAGTTTAATAAATTGAACGTTAAACAAATAAACCCATAAAAACTCAGAGGATATGGCGATATCTTCTCACACCCTGGGACTCTTCATAGGAAGGACATCCCTGAAAATGGAATTTCTTACTCCATAATCTCAGATGATCCCACAGGGGGAGGAAAGTGTTTGCCAGTGGGGGAGATGCAAATGTCCAGCCCCACCTTCTGGGGGCCGGGCTTAAGCTGAGTAATAAGAACTTGGGGTGAATCAGCCCCCAAGTCTCAGGAACAGACAGACATGGGCATGGTACCCGGGGCCCAGGGCAAGGGTGGCTTATGGGCAAAGGCACGCTGAGATGTACAGAGCAGAGAGAGAGTATCTGGTGATGCTGCTGTGTGACCTTGAAAGAGTGACCTGGCCTGTGCACCTTACTGTGCTCATCTGTAAAATGGGAATCATGGAAACAGCGTCTTCCTTTTGGGATTTTATGAGGATTGAATGAGGTGACGCAGGCAGCTGATAACTGAGCATTATTAGTGCCCAATAATGTTCTGAGACTGATAATGGAGCCAGGAGTGCCCTGTCCAGATGAGGCCAGACAAGCTGGAAGGGCTGGCCAGAGCCCAGGGTGGTGGTGAGAAGGAGGCACAGCGGGGCCCTGTAAACCCAGTCAGTGTTAGGGTGGGAGGCTGCAGGCTGCCCCCAGGAATCGTGGAGACCCTAGCAAGGGTGAGTACACACCGAACCAAAGAAAGGCAGAGAAGGGCAGACTTCTGTGGAGGACCTCCGTCATGCCAGCATGGTGCCAAGGCCTTTAAAGGAATCCAGCCCCTGCCAACAACGCTGTGGTTGGGGATGATCATTCCCATTCTTTTTATTTTCTATTTTTTTGAGATGGAGTGTCGCTCTGTCACCCAGGCTGCAGTGCAGTGACGCAGTCTCGGCTCACCACAACCTCCGCCTCCTGGGTTCAAGAGATTCTCCTGCCTCAGCCTCCCAAGTAACTAGGACTACAGGTGTGTGCCACCACACCCAGCTAATTTTTTTTAGTAGAGACAGCGTTTCACCATGTTGGCTGGGCTGATCTTGAACTCCTGACCTCAAGCGATCTGCCTGCCTCGGCCTCCCAAAGTGCTAGAATTACAGACATAAGCCACTGAGCCTGGCCTGATCATTCCCATTTTATAGATGAAGAATTTGAGGCTCAGAGAGGTCAAATGCCTTGCCTAAAGCCACACAGCAAGAAAGTTATGGAGGTTGTGCCTGCCACACCCGTTGCTTTACACTGACAGCCCACAACATCTTCATGCTGAGATGCAGGCAGTGTCATTCCGCCCATTGTACAGATACATGAGCTGAGGCTCGAGAAGACAAAATTACTTTCCCGGTTACCAGCTAGCAATTGGTGGGACAAGGCATGAAACTGAAGTCCATGTGATTCCAATGCCACCTGTCTGTGGCTGGGCCTGCTTTTGGGACTGGCTCCACAGTCCTCCGTGGTAGGAGGCACGAAGAGAGGGGGAATGGAGGCTCACAGAGAAGAGGGGACCCCGCTGGTATCCCCAACCCCTCCCACACACGCCATTAGTCGCTCTCACCCCAGCACAGTAGACAAAGGCAGCCGGTAATTGGGAGTGAGTATTTCATGCATCCCCCCCGATGTTTTATTGGGTGGAGAGATGCTTGGAGACCAAACGGATGGCGCATTCTGTTTATAAAGTACGTGCAGTTTGTTTTATTTCCCGAGTTTTTGCAATCTAGATAACAGATGATGCCCTGAGTGGCTGGCGCTGCCTCCATAATGGCGGCACCGAGCCTTTGGAGAAGTATTAATAATAGATTGTGTTGATGAGTTTGGAGAAAGTAGCAATCGACCCCCTGCTGCCAAGGCATTAGCGAGGCTATTCTGCACACAGCCAGCACCATGGCTTTGACTGCAAATGCAGGTCACCCGCCCTGCTGCCCTCTCCCCAGCCTAAGAAGGGCTTCTCTCTGGGAGCCACCCGAGGTGTGCCGACCCTGGCCTGGGACCCTGAGACCCTGGCCCTGCCATGCTAGCAATGACGTGGCCAGTGTCTGTCCACTGGGAGGCCACAGATGTCAGGCTGCAGACCTTAGTGGAGCCACTAGGTCAGGTAAAGCATGGGGAGGGGACAGAGGAGCACTGGGGGTTCGGAGAGGAGTGCCCTCCATGTCAGAGCGGCAGGTTCTGCAAACCCAGGCTCATTCCTCAGCCCCTCAGTAGAGCTGGACAGAAAGCCGGATTCCCAGGGCCTCTGCCTAAAGCGGTCACTGACAGTTGTGTAGATTGTGCCCTGAACAAGGTGATTCAGTCAGAGGGCCCAATTAGAGCCAAAATCCAGCCCACATCCCCCTTGCAGAGCCATGCCCTGCGGGCTGGTGGGGTCCAGCATGTCCACCGCAGAGCCTGGCCTCAGCCTCGGCTCACTCCAGGCATTTACTCACCTGCTCCGCGAACACTCACTGAGGGCCCCTTGAGGATCGAATGGGGCTAGGTCCTGTCTCGTGGAACCCCGGTAGAGTTGGTAGAGTAGGGCACTGACAGGGACATGCATGTCCCTCCACTGTGATACCCACACACCGAGTTACATGCTCAGCATCCTCGAATCCTGACAACAGCCTTCAGGAAGGGCTTGACATCTCCATTTTACAGGAGTAAACTGAGGCTGGGGGAAGCTCAGGGGAGCATAGAGGAGGCCACCTCCCCCAGACTGGGCATCAGAGAAGGCTTCCCAGAGGAAGTGGCATTGGAGTTGGGCATTGCAGGATGAGTAGGAGCCTGTTGGGTAGAATAGAGGTGGGTGGCAGGGGTCGATGGGTGTGCCCCCAGCTGAGTGCCCTGGCCAGTTCTCGGGCAGCAGGTAGAGCTCAAAGCGGCCCTGCCCACTTCACCCCACCAGCTCGCCATGGGTGGTTCAGACGGTAGCCCCGAGAAGGGAGGCACGCAGTGCCTCCCATTTATGGCCATTTCTGTTCCAGAACCGATTAGTAGAGAATTGCAGCTGTAATCTGTGCCCGTGATGGCGGGCCATAAAGAGGGATGGGATGTGCACAGCACTCCCAAGGTGGCGCCCGCAGACGTGGCCCGGGGATGCCGGGAATGAAAAATGGTTTTAATTCCCTCCCAGCAGCAATAATTTGATTCTTCATAAATTTTTCCATCAAAGTGTTGTTGAGCTGAGTTCCCACAGAGCAAGACACGTGACAGGGTGGAGGAGTGTCAGGAGGAGCGGTCAGCAGACACAGCGGAGGAGGGTGTGCTGCCCAGCCCCTCGTGCTAGTGCTGGCCAGGGCTCGGAGACCCCCGCCCTCATTTGTCTGCGGAGATGATGGGAGACGGAACCACTTTGTCACGCGGGAACTGGATTAGGCTCACTCAGCCTGGGAGTTGGCTCCAGCATTTGCTACCCATGCAACCCAGAGCAAGTGACTGCCTCTTAGCACCTCAATTTCCTCATCTCTAAAATGGGGTTAATGTTCATTCTCTTCTTGTAGGGTTGTTGCAAGGATTAAATGCATCTCTGCACATAAGATGCTTAGAGCAGGGCTGGCAATCTGTACATGCTCAGTAAGTATCTGTTCAGGATGAAGATGCATAAGCTGAGACAGACGGATAGGAAGACGTTAGCCAAGCCAAAGGATGGAGAAAGAATGTGTTGAAAGGCTGCCATGATGGTGCTTTGGGGAAACTTCAGGCTGTTCTTTGGGGCTGCAGCCTGGGGAAGCAGAGGGTAAAGAGGGGAGAGGCAGGATCATGAAAGGCCTTGAGTGCCAGCCTCAGGAGCTCAGATGTTCTCCTAAGGCCCATGGAAGCCATGGAAGAGTCTGGAGCAGGGAAGCAGCTTGATCCGATTTGTATTTTAGAAAGATCCTCCTGGCTCCTGTGTGTGGGATGTCTCCTGTGTGTGTGATGGCTCCTGTGTGGGCTGGGGTTTGAAGGATTGAAGGGGCCGGGAGCCCAGGCAAGGGACCAGGCAGCTGCTTGGGCAGGAGAGGAGGGGCCCAGGCTGGGCAGTGGGTTAGACGGGGCTGGGAGTTGCTTGGATGTGTTGGGAGAATCAGAGGAGAGGCAGACGGGGGATTTGAGGAGGAAGGGATCCTCTTCAGACGGGGGCTGACCTGGCCCCCAGGGAAAGTTTGGGTGGACCCTGCACACTGCCCTCTAGTGGCCACCATGTCTCTGAGCTGGAAGGGCCCTGAGCTGCCTCACCTGGGACAGGTGACTCTAGGCAGTTTGCCAGCACCCATCCCAGGACCACTGGGGGCCTGTAGGCAGAAGAATAGGGCTGCAGGGCCCTCCTACTGTCTTGCCCAGTGCCCAAGGGGGGCCTCTCCCTCTTGCCACCCTGACCCTCAGGTCCAGGTGGGAGGGAGAGGCCCTCGGCAGGAGTGGCTTCTGGGACGTACTTCTGAGCGCAGCCCATGCACCCACATTGTGCATCCGCAGGCTCTTCGCGGCCAAGTGCAGCGGCTGCATGGAGAAGATCGCCCCCACCGAGTTCGTGATGCGGGCGCTGGAGTGCGTGTACCACCTGGGCTGCTTCTGCTGCTGCGTGTGTGAGCGGCAGCTACGCAAGGGCGACGAGTTCGTGCTCAAGGAGGGCCAGCTGCTGTGCAAGGGTGACTACGAGAAGGAGAAGGACCTGCTCAGCTCCGTGAGCCCCGACGAGTCCGACTCTGGTGAGGCCTGGCCTGAGCTGGGGGAAGGCCTCAGGGATGGGGCTTGCTGGGGTGTCCTGGGGGGGTGTCCTGGCTGGAGAAGCCACCTCCTGCTTCCAGGACCTGAGCTGGACACAGATGGCGCGTACACGTCCCAATGCACACGCACACTGACGTGTCCACTTGCGTGCACATGACACGAACGTGCATCTCCCCAGGCTCACAAAATGTGCTCTGCTGACTACCTGAGAGCTACCCATCCATACGTATAAACACGTGTGTGATCACATGTACACACAAGCACATAAAATGCACACAGGAGTATCCCTACCCTGAGCATATATACATGTACATAAATGTGGAGATATATGTTCACATACCTGGGAATGCAAAAACCACACTTAAGCGTACACACACATATGCACGTGATACAGCACATGTGTGCACTAAACACCAATCCACATGGCTGCACATGCATGTTTGTACACATGCTCACATGTACTGTGGATTGCGTATGTGTATACACACACAGCTCTCGTTCTCTGGCCCATCCCCCTTGCGCTCTCTTCCGTGATGCCCCCACACACACAGCACAGCTCCACAGGGGTCCTCACCAGCACCTGGTCCACAGGCTGGGGACACCTGAGAGGCAGGGACCTGGTATGCTCTCCCCTCCTTGGCACCCTGAAACCTTCATCCGGGGAAGCAAAGAGCCCCGAGCCAACCTGTTTCCCAGCTGAGGGGTAGGGGCTGGGCCCTTTGTGCTTAAGGGAAAGACCCCATTTCCCAGGGTGAAGGACCCTCCCTACTCTGCTCTAGCCTCCAAACGGATGAGGCCAGTTTGGAACCCTCCTGGCAGACAGGGCAAGCCCAGCCAGGAATGAGTCTTAAGGAGGGAAAGACCAGGAAGTAGCTTCAGCCCTTGTTCGTGGGAACAGTGGGGAAGGACTGGAGCAGGCAGCGTGGAGAGGTGTCCCGGTCCACCAGGCCCGGTGGTAACCTGCAGCCCTGTGGCAACAGGATCTGCCATATGGGAAGGGCTTGCCATGGCCAGCAGTGAACTCGCCACCATCTGTCCCTACCCCTCCCTAGGCAGGGCACTGCTGCAGCCGGCCCCATGGCTGTCCAGACTCCTGAGGAAGAGCAGAGGCTGGCCAGGCGCCAATGATCCCCTCATGCCAGGCCCAGCAGAGGGGGTCTCAGTGGGTGGAGATCACCCCCCACACTCTGAGGAGGACAGGATGGAAGAAGGGAGACCAGCCCAGGGGGCAGCAGGAGGCCCAGCGGTGGCTGGGGAGAAATGGCCCAGTGGTTTGGCCATCCATCTGGGGCTGGCATTTCTGAGACCCAAACCGGGGGCGTGGAAGTTCTGTGTGTGTGTGGTGGGTGTGGCTGTAGTGCTGGGTGAATGCACACACTGTATGTCTGTTCACATGCATGCATGCCTGTCTGTTACTGCCCATGAGCATGGGCCCGTGTGTGTGAATACACCTGTGAGCCGCTTGTACCAACTGTGTGCGTCTTATGAGTGTGTGCGTATGCGACGCTCATGAGCACTCGCGTGAATATCTGCGGTGCGTGTCTTTGCTCGCACACTTCTGCGTATGTCCACACACAGAGCCATGTGCACGACCATGTGTGTATGCCTGTGTGCCTGTTCCCCGCGTGGGCCTGGCTTCCTGAGTGTGTACACACCCATGCTGTGGTTGTCCAAGGCCCACCTATGTGAGTTCCTGTGCAGGTGTGGCTGCAGCCCAGGATGAGGAAGTAACAGGTGTGTGCCGGGGAAGGGACTCGCAGGGTACAGCAGGCAGGAGACGAAGGACCAGGTGAGGCAGGACCTGAGGGCCAAGGGAGCGAAGTAGGCCTTATCCTGCGGGAACTGGGGAGCCACAGCAGGTGACAGGAGAGGGTTGCAGTCTCATGTCGGGCAGCAGGTTGCCGAAGGGGACAAGGCTGAGGCCTGGGCTGTCCCTGGCCCTTCCTGACAGGCCGGGTTGTGTCCCCCACAGTGAAGAGCGAGGACGAAGATGGGGACATGAAGCCGGCCAAGGGGCAGGGCAGCCAGAGCAAGGGCAGCGGGGATGACGGGAAGGACCCAAGGAGGCCCAAGCGACCCCGGACCATCCTCACCACGCAGCAGCGAAGAGCCTTCAAGGCCTCCTTCGAGGTCTCATCCAAGCCCTGCCGAAAGGTGAGGGGCGGCTGGGGGGTGGGACTGAGGGCTGCCTTTCTGGATACCACCCCCTGCTCCTGCTGGGGATAGGGACATCCCTCCATCCCTCCCCAACATCCCATCATCCCCTTAAACCCACCACCTCCTGGCTGCTGCCCCTGGAGGGCCTGACCTGTCCCCCTCTCTCTGGGCCAGGTCCGAGAGACACTGGCAGCTGAGACGGGCCTCAGTGTGCGTGTGGTCCAGGTCTGGTTTCAGAACCAAAGAGCAAAGGTAAGAGGCCACCCCCACCCCTGCAGGCCCCGGGTAGGGTGGGAGTAGAGGGGACAGCCAGAAGACAGGGGTCCAGAGGGGGTGGGGCTGGCCATGCCTGGGGGGAGGGGCGGCACTGGCCTGAACCAGCTCTCCCTGCAGATGAAGAAGCTGGCTCGGCGGCACCAGCAGCAGCAGGAGCAGCAGAACTCCCAGCGGCTGGGCCAGGGTGAGCTGGGGCCGGGGCTGCACCTGTCCCAGGGCTAGGGACCAAGGGACCCAGGATGTTTCCTTTAACAAAACTTCCGAAAAGCCTTCCACCAAGGCCATCAGAGCCCAGGGAGCTTCTGTCTTAAAACCATGGAGACATAGAGAAATAGAGAAGCCGTGGGGACTAGGGGACCCAGGGAGGAGAGACAGAGTGGCAGCTAGACGCGGGGCTCAGCCTTCAGCACGCACCATCTTACGCCGTCCTCACAGATCACTGCAAGGGAGGGTATTGCCATGTCCCATTTCACAGATGAGGAAACCGAGGGACTGCCTGGGATCCCTCAGCCAGCCAGGTGCAAAGCTGGACCTCGGCCCCAAGCCTGGTGCTCAGAGCCTGTGCCTTTAACAGGAGGACACTACTCCACTGCTGGAATTCTGCAGGCAAAGCTTGTCCGGGCACGAGGGTCCTGCTGAGGCATGAGGGACTGGTTTTAGGGACATGAGTCAGGCCCCTCATCACTGGGCTTCACCAAAACTGCTGTTTCTACATCAGAATCTCCAGACAGGCTGGTTACTGGGCCCCATGCGACTTTGAGCCTTCAGGGCCATGAAGGGAGGAGCAGGGAGCTCCCTGGAACTGCAGAAGTGGGTGGGGGCAGGGCTGCCTGCTCCCCCATGAGAGAGGGAGGCTTCTGGCCAGGTGCCAGGGCACTGGGGGCCACGCCAGTGTCCTAGGCTGGACTCAGCTTCTAAGGACACAGCCTCAGAGCCTGCTTCTTCCTTGCTCCCCCTCTGCCCTTTCCAAGGCTGTACTCATGGCCTCTGGTCTCCCAGCCAGGTCCTGGGCTGTGTCTCACCCCTGTGTTCCCAGCTACTTCCTGGACAGCCTCCCCGAGAAGGTCCCACAGTCCCCCCAGCTCATCCCAGCCCATGCCACACCCTCCCTCCTGCCCACACGCACATGGCATGCCTTCCTTCTCGCCATCCTGACTCTGCACATGCCACCACCGTCCACTCTGTCTGTGCCAGGAACCAGGAGTCACCTCTGACACTTCTTGTCCCACGCTGTGATCCGCTGAGGTGCCAAGTTGGGGAGTGAAGTCTATAGCTCTCCCACCCTCCCAGGAGCTCTCTCCCACAGCGACCTTGACAGAGACCCTGCCCTTCCTCTGGCTTCCTCACCCACTGGCCCCAGCCCTGGTCTCTCCCTCCAGCCTTTCTAGCCCTCACCTGCCAAGACCCTCCTGTGGCTCCCAACAGCCTCGGGGGCTCCCACCAGGGCTCCCCATGACCTGCGGTCCCTCTCAGCTGGTCTCCCCACACACCAACCTCTCTCCCTGGCTCTCAGCCTGCGTGCTGCACCCTTACCCGCCGCTGGTCTGTCTCCTCTGGGCCTTTGCTGCCCCTCAGCCTGGTTTGCCTCCCCTGCTCTGGCCTGTCGAGCCCCTGATAGTTCTTTAAGTCACACCAAGGTGGAGGCCCTTTCCTCCGGAAGCCTTCCCAGGGCCTCTTTGGCTTGGGTCTGGGACCTTGGCACTCCTAGATGCAGGGCAGAGTCGTTATTGCCTGTGTGGGGTGTGCCTCCCCCTGCTCCCTGGATCCCCTGGGTAGGTGGGGTGATGGGAGGAAAGAAGATAGGGAGGGAGGACTCTGACTTTTAGTAAACCGAGTCTGCAGGAGGAGCTGGAGCGTGCACCTGGGGAAGGGGCTGGGGAGTCAGTGTCTGGACAGCTTCAGCTAGAGAGGGGTGCCTGGGAGTCCCAAGGAAGCCAGAAGGGGAGGCTGCTGGGGAAGCCAGGCCGTGGAGTGCAGCTGGGAGGGCGTGGGCCGGGCCAGTGGGTGAAGGCTCACTGTGTCCCCAGAGGTCCTGTCCAGCCGCATGGAGGGCATGATGGCCTCCTACACGCCGCTGGCCCCGCCACAGCAACAGATCGTGGCCATGGAGCAGAGCCCCTACGGCAGCAGCGACCCCTTCCAGCAGGGCCTCACGCCGCCCCAAATGCCAGGTGACCACATGAACCCCTATGGTAAGCGGCCCTACCCCTGCCCCCCGTCCCAGCACAACCCCTGCCCCCTGCCAGGCCAGGCAGGCCTGGGGCCATGACAGCCACCTGCTGCCCCAGGGCTCAGGCAGCGTGGCCAGCACAGCCCTCCTGCCTCCTGCTGACAGGAAGGGCCTTAGCCCCTCTTGGGTGGCACTGGCCAGCAGACCATCCCGCCACTCCCTGGCCTCCCATCACACAGCCTACAGGACTAACGGGGCGCCCAGGAGTCCCAGCCTGCGTGCTGGTCCTGACACCCCTTCTGCCCCCCCAGGGAATGACTCCATCTTCCACGACATCGACAGTGATACCTCCTTAACCAGCCTCAGTGACTGCTTCCTCGGCTCCTCAGACGTCGGCTCCCTGCAGGCCCGTGTGGGGAACCCCATCGACCGGCTCTACTCCATGCAGAGTTCCTACTTCGCCTCCTGAGAGCCAGCCGGGTACACGGACGCTTGGGCAGAGGCCTGGGGGGGACCGCCAGCCTCCTCAGCCAGCCTGGCCATCCTGCCCTGCTCTCTGCACAGACTACAGACAGCCATACGGTGCCCTCCCCTTGGCCGGCCGGGCCTGGCCACTGTGCCCATGGGGTACAGCCAGACCGGTAGATGGGCACAGCCTGGGCAGGGGCTGTGTCCTGCCCACAGAGACCTTGTCATTCCCAGGGACCCAGAGCTCTCGGACGGCCACCCGCCTCCCAGCCCCACCTCGGCCTCCATCGCCTCCTCCCCATCTCTTTTTTGGGAAGCTTAAATTCTCTCTATTTTTTTAAATGTCCTCTCTGTGTCCATGGCCCTCCATGCAAGCCCCCAAGACCATGGTGTCATGAGGCGGTGACCTGAGAAGCGTGTGCACCTGTGCCCCAGCAGGGAAGGGATGGCCTCTGGGGGCAGGCCCACTGCCTGGAACAGGCTGGAGCAGCAATGAGGAAGGCCCGAGGGGGAGGCACGGTCAGGAGGTGGGCTCACGGCCTGAGCCTGGCCAGGCGCGAAGGGACAGAGAGGCACATGCAGACACGTGCACACTCGCAGGCAGACCCACGCGAACATGCACACAGCTTTGTGGGGACACCGAAAGGGACGGGGTGCTCAGTGGGTCTGCCCTGGCCTGTCAGGGGAAAGGAGGCCAGATAGGGATAGGGAACCCCCACTTCTTAGCGTGATTGGAAAGGGAGGTGAGCTTGAAGCATGTGGACCCAGCTGTATCCCAGCCTGGGCCCAGACGGGGGCTTCCTGAGCAGGGAGCGCAGCCCCAGGCCCCACCAACTCTGGAGGCAAATGGAGCCCCTAGAACCAGGTAGCATCAGGCCAGATGGCAGAAACTCCATGTGGTCAGGGACCTCAAAAGCACCTGCTGGGCACCCCATCTGCAATGTGGTCCTCTCCCCAGCCCCTCTGCCTCCCCTCACATACCTCCAGCGACAAGGAGCTCACTACATCCGTGAGCCAAGGCAGCTGTGCCTTCCTGCTTCCCAGAGCCAGGCTTCTCCAACTCTTCCTCTCAACACTGTTCCCCTAGCGGGCCCCCAGCCGTCCTTGCGGGGCAGGTATCACTTCACCTTCCCGCTGCTGTCAGCCGGCCAGAAGAGAGCAGGTACATCCCTCTCCGGCTGTGGCCCCCTGCCTCTGTTGCCACATGACCTTGGAAAGTCACCCTGCCCTGCTGTAACTAAATCCCGGACCATACGCAGGTGACAGCTAAGCCACATCTCTTCCCTGTGTGTACACAGGATGATGGGGGCACTTACTGTGTAGACCGAGTGAGGGACCGTGCCCTCTTTTCTGTTCCATTCCCTCCTACTCAATTCCTTCCCGCCTGTGGAATTTCTCTGCACCCTGATTCTGTGACTGCTGCTTTGCTCTCTCCCAGCACACATGCGCAGTGAGGAGCTGGCCCTGGGTGTCTCACCCAAGGTGTGTGGACCAGGGTGGCCTCTCCGTGTTTGACATTGGCCCATTAATCCATCCTCATTGGAGGACACATGCCAATTGCATTTCCTGCCCCCTTCCCCTAGGGAGATTGCAGATCCTGTCGGGCGCCCTGCTGGAAGCCAGGTACTCTCGATCCGGCCCAGCCCGGGTCTGCTCAACTCTAACCCCATCAGAGCAAGGAGGCTGGGCTGCTGGGGCCTGACCGGTGAGCCCGCCTTGGCCCCTGCTGGTCACTGTGTCCTTGCTCAGGTGCTCACAACCCTGCCTTTAACTCTGAAGTCAAGCCCTTAAGCCACTGCCCCAAGGTCTGCCTGGTCCAAACTTTGAGCAAGTAAGGATGATGAGTGTCCCTTTCCACCTTTGGGCCTCTGCCTGGATCTCTGGACTTCTCTGAGTTCAACCTGTCCTGTGGTTTTGCCCCCCTGTTTGCTGAGGAACTCATTCCCCCCATTGCATCCTGGGCCACCCTCCTCGCCTGACATGCAGCCCTGTGTCAACCATCGGGTCCCAGCAGCCAGCTGGCCCTGCTGAAGCTCTTCCAAACAGAGCTTCTCCAAGGACTTCAGTTGATGTCCTGGTCCTTCGGCCACCTCAGCCCACCAGGGACTGTGCCACCATGAGTCCCTTGGGCAGCAGCTGTACTGGCTTCTGGAGACACACCCCTCTTTCTCCTTTTGCACATGCGCCATTGGAATCATGCCAGGGACACTTTGGGCAGATTCAGGGCAGATACCTGACCTCCCACGAGACCCGGCCCTTCTCTCCCAGACCCAATACGCTGGAAGCGACATCAGAAACGGTCATCTCACCCCCCGACCCCTTATTTTATAGGTGGAAACCCTGAGGCAAGAGAGGGGAAGAGACCTGTCCGAGGTCCGGGTTAGTGACAGCTGAGCTGAGAACAGGGACATCATGCCAGCCCCATTGTGCCCTGTGGTTTGTGAATGACCTTCAGGTCAGGGGGTCACAACTTGTTCTTTGTAAACTTGCCAGCCCCTGGGGTCACCTCTTCCCATTCTGGGCCCTCACAAGGCCCCGAATCTAGCCAGGGCCCCATGCTGGGAGTTGGTCTCGGGACAGCACGCTTGTTAAAGCCAGAAGGGACCTCAGAGAGCCCCTCATGCCGGAGGCACCCTGTCAGCCATGGCTAGGGTCCCTTTGCTCTGTGCTGTGCCTTGCTGCTCACAGGCTCTTAGACACCAGCACCCACTCCACCCAGCCCTGGACTGCACGTGGCACACAGATGAACAGGAATGCAGGTCCTGCCCTCGAGGGCTTCTCCCCTAGAAGGAAAGCCCAGCCAGAGAGTCTAGACATGGCAGGGACCCATTTCTCGGATGAGCCTGAGGCTCAAAGAAAGGAGGCGATGTGTTCAGGGCCAGCCAGCAGAGGTCTGCAGGGCCGGGCAGGCCTCTCACCTCATGGGGGGAGGTGCAGCCTTCGCTGGGAGCTGGGCAGGGAGTAGCCAGGACCACCCCTCACCCCTGCCATGACATGGGACCTTCATCACTAAGGGGGCTGGGGTGGGAAGAGGGAGATAACTGTGTGGTCTCCGGAGCAAAACACAGAATGAGAGGGGGACAGGAGGGGTCTTGACGAAAAGCCAAGTTCCACCTCCCTGCTGGAGAGGTTGAGGCTTAGAGGAAAGAATCGCCCCAGGTAACAGGGCAGAGGAGGACACGAAGCCCGGCTCACAGCCCCAGCCAGAGCCTCATCTGCCTGCTCCGTGAAGCCTCCCAGCCACTCTGCTATCCCAGGAAACACAGGGAGGCTACACAGAGACACTCCTCACAAGGGCCAGACCAAGGTGCCAGCATAGCCTGGAAAGAGCCGGGAGAGGGGGTTGGTGCACGCCACTGGGCATCTTAGGAGGCTTCCTGAGGGTGGGTGAAGGTGGGAAGGCCCTGGCGCCGCATCAGATGAGCAGGGCCCGGCAGGGCCAAGCTCCCAGCATGGGTTTGGGGACAGCCTCTTCTCTGGGAAGCCCTCCAGCCTCCTAGCAAGCAGCTGCCTCCCCCAGCCCCACTCGTTTCATGTCACACGCAGGGAGCCTGAGGAAGGAGGACTGCCTGATGCCTGCCTGGCTCCATCCTTGAGCCCTGGGCACCACCTAGGGTGAGGGAGAGCCTGCAGCTCTAGGGCTAAATCTGCCCTGTGGGGAAAGGGCCCCACGCTTGCACGCACGCACTCACACACACACACTCACACCAGGACGCACGTGGAGGCTCATGGACCCACACTCGCAGGCACACGGGGCCTGGGGGCCCAGGGGAGCAGGAAAGACGACTCCTCCAACATTTGGCCCTTGGAAGGCGCCGTTGCCAATGAGCCTCTTTGCTGGTTTCCCCCACCCCCCCAGGGGTCCCAAGGGAGCCCAGTCCAGCCCAGTGTGAGGACGGGCCACCGGCCATGCCTGTTTTCCTTGTACAGACAGACTCTCACTGCCCACCCGCCATCCCCAGACACATTTTATTTAATAACTTGTCATTGTTAAATTATTTATTAGCGTTTACTACACCACCACCCGCCCTGCCCTCCACTGTCACCTCCACCTCTTCCTACAACAGCAGAAAATGGAAACGACAAAAAAAGACGAGACATCAGTATATTTGTAAATAAACCGACCTGTACACGCCTGTGGTGCATCTTCTTTGGGGGCAGGGCCTGGATGGAGGAAGGGGCTTCCTGGGCCTGGGCCGCTTCCGCATGTGACATTAGCAGATTTGTTGATGGCCACCAGGGACAGCAGGTCAGGAGGCAGGAGGGCTTGAGGTCCCTGTTCCTGCCCAACCCTCCCGTGATTCTCATTTCCTCCGTGAATCTCCTAAACAGAAAGAACAGCAAAGCCTGAGGGCAGGGCCAGACCAGTCAGGGCCTGGCGGCCGAGTAGAGAATAGATCCAATTAGATCGGGGGGCTGGATGGAAGGTGGGAGGTGAATTAGGTCAGCAGGTGAGAGGTGATGATGGTTTTGACTAGGATGGCAATGGTGGGGAGAAAGGAGGGGGCAGATCCCGGAGATATTGGTGGGGGGGCTGTCTAGGTGGCATCTAGGTCTCTGGATCACCGAGATGGGGGCGCAGGGGGCACAGGAAGTGGGGAGATATGTGGTCTGGCCATGTGAGCTGGGGACCTCATGGGCATCCAAGTGAAGACGTCCTGGGCCAGGGCTGGGCCTCAAAGCGACCAGACGCTGAACACTCGGCTCTTCAGCAACCAGGTGGCTGGCCACTGAGGCACGGGATGGATGAGCTCCCAGAGGAGCACGGCATGGGAGAAGGAAGAAGCTGAAGCCAAACTCGAGTAATCGTGAGGCCTTGGGATGGGATGTGGCTGGGGTTCTCCAGAGACAGCAGCAGGGATGGCAAGTGTGGTGGTGACAGCAGAGACTCAAAGGAATTCGGCTTTCAAGGTGGGTTCCTTGAAGTCTCATGCTTCCTCCGTGTGTGTTGAGGAACCTCAGGGTGTGTGTGCACGTGTGGGCACGCGTGTGGTCCATGGAGTAGTTCCGTGGGCCGGTTTGCCTGGATGTGCCATGCATGAAGCTGGGCGTCCAGAAGTATCAGGACACCATGCATGGCTGTGTCTCCTGGAGTGGCTGCGTGTGTCTGCACTGGGAGAGGCGAGTCCCCGATGTGGCGGTGTGCTCGTGGGGACGTTTCCCTACCCAACTCGGGGCGTCATTGCCTATCTCTGCATGTCTGCATCTGGGATGCCTCTGGGCCTCCTGTCCACAGAACTGATGTACCAGTGTTCTCTCCCTTCCCCCAGGCGTCCGGTTGCTCCTCGGCCTTCTTTCCCCACCCCTGTGGTGGGGACCACCGAAGGCCACCTCGCCTTCCTCTGGCTGTCCACAGGCACCAACACCCCCTAGGGGCAGGCCCCGCCCTGCACCCGCTTCTGGGCTTGCCGTTCATAGCCCCTGGACGGTTCCAGCTGCCTCTGGAGTCTAGCCACATGAAGGACCTCCGCTTCACGTCCTCATCTACACCCCAGCAACCCTAAGAGGCAGGTCCCCATGTTTCTGAAGGGAAAACCAAGGCTCAGAAGACAAAAGCGACCAGCCCAATGCAGCAAAGCTAGCAAGGGACAGCAGAACCAGGGTTCAAACCCAGATGCGGTTGTGTGGCCTTGCCACCATCTCAGCTGTCCCCCAAAGCCAGACTCTCTGGCCCTAGGATCCGGTCCTCCATGGTCAGGCCCAAGGCCTGGGGAACAAGGAAACTCCTACCTTCAGAGTGCCTCACTGAAGCTCAGAGAAATCAAGTCACTCAGCGCAGACTGCACAGCACAGAGGCAGGACTAATGGGCTTCCTGTCCAAGCCCCAGGCTGGGCTCAATGTGAGGGGCCCTCTAACCTCCACCCTCGGCTATAGTGGGCTGACAGCCCTCTTGCCGACAGCAACCTTTTAAAATCCTGCCACTAAAAAATGTGGGGTGGGGGGGTTAAGGGGAGGAGCTGTGCTGATCCGCCTCTCCCTTGTCACCTGCCTATCTTCTCCCCTAACCCGGAAGGTAAAGACATAGGTTGGCAGAGCAAATGTAGGCTGAGTCCCGGGGGATAAGCGGTCACCCTCTGAGCCACCTTTCTGGGAGTAGAGTTTTAATTTTGTTAGAGACAGAGCCTCACTCTGTCACCCAGGCTGGAGTGCGGTGGTGCAATCCTAGCTCACTCTAAACCTCAGACTCCTGGA